CCTTCATAGGATTAGATTAGCCAGTTGTCAATAGTAACTCCAAGTTTCACTTTTTATGTACATATACTTAAAAGTAGTACTTTTGCTCAAAAATATTTAATTACAGCTCACAGTATTGCGTCACAGTTATAATTAAGTTAAAAGTAACTTTATATTAAAACTTAAAGTACCCAATTTCACATGTAAAACTTGAAGAAGTAGCTATTCATATTGAAGGAGTCATTGGAAAACGTAGTTACCTCTAGATTGAAATCATTGGTTTTATTGCGCTGTTTGGCAATAATTGAGTTTCTCACTTTCCAATTGTTTATCTAAGAAGTGTCATTCAAACATCACATATGAATAGTCTCTAATTGTATGCTCTCATAAGTAACGTCAACATGCTAATAAAATTCTCTCTCATTGTAAAAAGTATGTCCTTTATGTTTTTGTAAGCTCGAGAAGGAATTTTTGCAAGATGTTTTTGCAAGCATTCTCAAGTAAAAGTTACATGGAAACATGATCCTTTATGGTATCCCCAGCTTAACCAAATACAGCTATCTACACGTTTATCACAATTTACATCAATAACCGTTGTTGAAACGGGGTTCATTAATGTATTAGTCCCACTTTTAGTTACCCATACTCATTATTAACTTTTTTTGTATGGCACCATAACTCCTCCATATATTTGAAGATCGCAGCTTCGCCTGTTTATCTGCAAAAATTTACAATTTTGAGATTACTTTTTTTGATGATCCTGGGTAGTGATGAGCATGTTTGTGAAAGTAGCCAAAACAGTTTATCCCTTTCTATTTCAACATTAGTTGATTGCGAGAAGATCGACACTTCGATAGCTCAATATATCTAAAAACCTTTTCATTTATGTTAATATTGGTATTGAAAATTTATATCTTATGATGTTCTAGAGGTCTATTACATGCACTACTTGGGCTAACTCTCTTCAATAAATATAGTAAAAATAGCGATTTAAACACTAGTTTTTTTCTTAACAATTCTATGAATTTTTTCGAAAGAATAGCAAATTTATAAAGATTGCTTTGAAAACATTAGGTTTGCGAAAATCAAAGCGGTATAGTTTCCTCGTATTGTCCATGTAATGCATGTTATCTAACCAAACTTCCAATGATCAATATCATACCATTCTAGAGTCAATTTCCTAAATTCATGTCAGAAAAGCTCGTATATTAAATGTTCAGATGCGCTTCTATCAATTATACTTGCACTATGAGACTGGCATAATTATTAAACTTGGACAGGCTAGTGCTGTGGTGAATACGGTAAATTATTAACATTTAGGCTAACAAGAGTTTTTAGAAAATTATATTATTACAAAGGTTTATTTGTTCATGTCTACCTTCTTTCGTAAGTGAATTTTGTTCAATACTCACGACTGCCTTATTATTTACGATTTTTAGATTTTTGAAGTAATTTGAGCGAAATTTCAGAAGGAAACTTTTATGTTAATGAATCTAACACAATTACATGCCGCTGGGGTTTTTGAATTGACATAGCTTAGAAAATTCTAAGTTGAATGTTGTTAATCAAAATTAAGCTCAGTGCTATTAAAGCCGATAAGCGCATCATGCCAACACAAATGCGCTAATAGAGCTTCTTTAACATACACTTCACGCAAT